GTGGCTGCCCCCCTTGATCGCCCGGCACCCTGGATCCGCGCCTGCCCCGCGGGTGGACCCAGCACCGGCACAGCATCCTCCGCCGCATGGCCTTTCCCACCTTCCCACCCTGCTCCCCTTGCCCCCCGCATTTCCCGTGGCCCCATCCTGCCGGTCCATGTCGCAGTGTAAGGGCCTGATCCTGCTTCTGCTGAAGCCAGGGGGAAGCAGAGGAATCCAGCCCCGGGAGGGACACCCCAATGCAGGGAGCACCCCGGGTCCAGCCCTTTCCCCGTGGGCACCCCTGGCCCTGCAGCGCCCGTCCCAACGCCAACCCCTGTGCTCTGCTCCCCATCCCTCCTGCCTCTTCCACAGCAACGGAGCAGGCAGGAACGGGCAAGAGTGGGCAGGAGCAGGCAGGAGCAGGCAGGAGGGGGCAGGAGTGGGCAGGAGTGGGCAGGAGCAGGCAGGACCACACCAGGCTCAGCCTTTCCTCCACCATGGGCTTCCTGAAGGTCCCTGGCCAAGTCCCTTATCCCAAAGGGGCATTTTGGGCACAAAATCCAGTTTGTGGCTTCTCCCACGCACCAAACCCAAAGGACACCTTTGCCCATGTGTCCCCGTGCCCAGAGCTGGGCTGGATCCGCTCCCACCCCAGCTCCGGCTCATCCCAGCTGGTGTCCAGTACCGGCCCCTGTATGTGCGGATAACCAACACCACCCTGCCGCACCCGTCCCCCAGCAAAGCCGCATCGCTCCCACCTTCCCCGTGGGGAAACTGAGGCACAGTCATGGACCCTGCATGAGCAGCAGCGTGGGTGGGATTTTAACCCCTTCCCAGCCCTTCCCTACTGACTCCAACTGCTCCACCACGTCTTTCCTGCTTTGTCTTTAATTCAGAAGGGGTTTTTTTTCCATCGGGAACGTCAGAAACCATCTCCCATCTCCTCCTATTCCTGCTCCGGGCCAGATTCCAGCCGAGGGATCGGTCAGTGGAAAGAATGTCAGCAAAGAACAGGGCCAACCCTGCCGGGATTTTCCTTCCCCAAATCCCCCCTCCCCAGAGAGGCCACGCCACAGCACATTCCCTGCACCTATTGCCGGCACCCTTGCTCACTTTGGGTTGATTTCGAGCTTTTTGGAGCCCACCACGATGCTCTTCTCCCTTTGTAGTGATTTCTTTGGGGCCAGTTGCCTTATAACTTGTGCTCACCCTGATTTCAGCTCTCCCGGGGTCTCAGCCCTGGGGATTTGTTGTCCCCATGGTTTTAGCATCTATAAAAAAAATCTGCAGTGAAGAAAGCAGGACCCACAGCCTCGAGGTTCACTCCCAGCACAGCCCCTGTGCTCCCCAGGGTCAATCAAACCCCCAAAATACTCAAGAAGGAAAGAAATGGGAGTGCCAGCGTGGCCCCCGCATTAGGCAAAAGCATGGAAAGGGTTAGGGAGAGGCAGGATTTGTCCCTGCGAGTTTGCAGAGGAGCGGGTGGCAGGCGCAAAGCTGTTACAAGGAGATAACCTGAGCCCGGGGGCTTTACATCAACTTCGCATCGTCACATCGGGCAGTTGGACTCGCTCGTGGGGACCTTTACCAGTGGCACTCGCTGGTGGACGCGACCCCGGTGAGCCCTGCAGCCAGGTCCCTGGGCGAGGGATGCCTGCGGGACCCCCCCGGCTCTACCATAGAAAGGTTTTTTTTTTAATTTCAAGAGGGTGTTTGGGGGATGAGGAAGCCAGCGGTGACATAAGCGGCTCCGCGGGGCACGCGGCAGCCCCGAACAAGAGCGCGGTCAAGGATTTAGCACTTCATAAAAGAGTGGCAGCGGCGGTGGAGCAGGCACCGGCCGCCGCGGTGGCTTTTCCCCAGCCAGGAGAGGAGCAGGGAGGGACAGGGGCCGAGCCAGCCCCGACGGGCCACCGAGGCCACCGTGTCCCTGCGGCTGAGTGGGCAGCGGGGGCAGGAGGCAGCCTGTGGAGCTGGGGAGGAAAAGGCACCCAGTGCCAGCACGGGAATGGGACTGGGGAAGAGGGACCCCACGCTGGGGTGGCAGCCCCAGCACCTGCATTCCCTCCAGCACCTTTTTGGGGGTCTCATCCTGGCTGTCCATGCTGCCATAGGTACGGGGAGATGGGATAACGCTGTGCCCACCCGGCCGCCTCTCTGCTCCTCCATCAGACCCTCTTTGCCAATCCTGGGCACCGTGGGGGGACAGAGTGGGGCCTGGGGTCCGTGCTTCCAGTCGACTCGTCCCAGTGGATGCCAAATCAGGGATAACGATAACCGCCAGGCAAGCAGCCATCACCTGGGGACGCTGGCGTCTGGGCAGCCGGGAGGCTCCTGTCACAGCCCGCACCCCCCTGAGCACCCCGCAAAGACGACTGTTGGGGGACGGACAAGCAGGGCGGCTTTTCCTGGGTCCCATGGGTGGACACGGCGGTTGCAGGCTGCGCCCCGAGTAATTCGGAGCCGGCGGGGGATTAGGGCTCTGCTGCCGGCTGTCAGGTTAGCCCGTGATGGATGGTGGCGGCTGGGAGGCACACAAAGGCGACGCTGTGCGAGCCCCGGGCAGAACGTGCTGCGATCCGTCACGGGGTGACCTTCCCCCGGCTGGCGGAGGCCTCGCGGGGACGGCTCACCCTGTCGCAGCCGGCGGGGACGGGCGGCCACGAGGCCCGAGCTAAAAATACCCGTCCATTGAGAAAAACTCAGCCAGGAGGGTTTGTCCTTGCTCCTCCGGGGCAGCTTCCCAAGCCGGTGGCCAGGTCCACGGCACGGGGGTGCGGAGAGATGCCCAGGGGCTGCCCCAACTGTTTTGCTTTCCCACCGTGGTCTTGATTTGCTGAGTTTTGGGGAAGCCCGTAAGCACGTTGTGGCCCGGTGCACGACCCTGCCTGGTGCACGGAGCTGCACGCACCCAGTGCGTGTCCCTCCCAGTCCACAGAGCTTTAACCAGTGCACGACCCTGCCTGGTGCACGGAGCTGCGCAGTCCCCACGCTGGAGCAGCGACGGTGGGGATGGCGCCAGCTGGCTCCTTCCATCGGGAAGGGCAGAAGAAGCAGGAGGGTTTAGGGGCTGGTGAAGCGAGCTGGGTGGTGGAGGCAGCACCTACACCCCCGGGGTGCGGGCACCACCCCGCTGGTGGGGGAAGAGAGGCTGGGGGGGGGCCGGGCCC